AGTGAGGGTCAAGTTAATCTCTTTCGAGACACGTAGCAATCCCAGAGTTTTCAAACAGTTCTCACTTCGATTCGCAGTTAGAAATACAAGACAAATGAGAGGTGGTCTTTATAAGATGCAGGCACTTTTTAAACATTTGTTTTTTTTTCATTGCGAGTTGAGTGTTTGTATCTGCCCTTTTTGAGCCTTCTTTTTGCAGGAGGGATTGTGAAACTTTCAGTGTTTGCTATGCAAGTCACAGATTTCCTGATACAATGAGTTCTGGGTTCTCTGTCTGCCTAGCCAAGTGCCAATCCTTGTTTACTTTGTTTTACACTCGGTTTGATGTTAACCGCTGCTTATTGGCCAATGTTTTCGTACCCACCCCCCACAATAGGACTAACTGCCCTCCGATATTATTCCCAGTTTTAACCAGCCACCAGCCTTCATGATGGTGACTCTGTGTTTGGGGGTTTATTGCTGTTTTTGTGGCTTATGTACTCCCCAGACACAGATTATTGGGATCTTGCTGCACGCAAGTGTTTCCTACATTACAGCAGGTGGCTACACTCCCAAAGTGCCTCATTGGCTGTAAACAGCTTTGGGTCATTTTGAAAGGCGCTATAGAAAGGTAAAGTATTCCAATGGGTTGGCTCAGCACTGAGCCCAGCCTGCCCTTGCTGACAAGGAACAAAAGCCCCGGTCCTGCTCGGATTCCTGGCTGGTACCTGTTTGAGCTGGCACAGAGGAGACATCTAATTCTGAGCCGCCCCCCACCCCGAGATCTGTCAATGGGATATCCATCAATGCTGTAACTGGGGGCAACCACAGGCCAAGCATTCACGCCCTTTTCCTCGCTATTTATATCCTTCAGCTTCCTCCTGGAGCTACAGTCTTCTGTTTGGGATATTATTCCGAGAAAGTCCAGTGAGGCAGACGGTAACATAGCAACAGGAAAAGGCCATTCGGCCCTTCAATCTACACCCATCTTTCATGGAGATCTTCACTGACCCTCCATTCACCAGAAATGGAAGAATATAAGCGACTAGTGCAACCCCTCTGTGAGCCAATGCCAATAAGTTTTGATTTGCCGCCCATAACTTGAGGTCCCCAATAAGAAAAGTGAGCAGGTGGCCATTTGGTCCATTGAGTCTGTTCCATCGTACAATAAGATTACAACTGAGCTGGTTGTGGCGTTAACTGAACGTCGCGGTTTGCTGCCACAGCCCTGCGCTCCCCTCTCAATCAAACATCTGCCTACCCTGGCTGCGGATCTACTCAATGACCCAACCAGCACCGCTGTCTGGGGGAGCGAATGACCCAGAGATAATCCATTCCTTCTCATCTCTGACTTAACTGGGAGACCCCTCTATCTTTTAAACAGTGTTCCCTAATTCCAGATTTTCTGTTTTGGGGGGTCGTGGTGAATATCCTCCTCACATGCACCTCCCTCCCACCACAAGAAGCTTTTATTATTTCGAACAGTCCGCCTCTTATTTGAAACTGCCTGTGAGGGTAGGTCTACCAGGTTGAACCTTGCGTTCAGAGACCATCGCGATGTCACATCTCCCCTGCCCTGGACGGTCCTGGTTACAGATGCTGTCTAGCGAAAACCAGGGAGGAGGATGTTCACTGAGATCATGGTTGATCCATTGACTCCATCCTCCTGCCTTGACTCCATTTTATAACATTCCCTGTGTCTTGGAAAGCGTCAATTGATCTCCAATTTCGCGTTATTTTCTGAGCCAGCATCCACTGCTTTCTGTTGGAGGGAATTCCACCATCTAGGGACAGCATAGGGGATGGAACTGACTGCTCTATGGAGCTGGCCAACAAGGACACGGGGTGGGGGGGTGGTGGTCTGAATGGCTTCCTGTACTGTAAAGATTCTGAGTCCATCTGTCAGAGCAGGAGGGAGGAGAATTGAACATGAAAGATGTTATACTTCAGTTATGCAGATGAGACCACACCTTGAATACTGTTCACAGTTTAGATCTCCCTATGGGGACAGACCGGTGGCTCAGTGGTTAGCACTGCTGTCTCTCAGCACCAGGGACCTGGGTTTGATTCCACCCTCGGGTGCCTCCACTCGCAGCCTTACAACGTCTCCTTGACAAACTCCCAAACCCACTTATTGATTTTTCTCCAGTCAGCTCGAGGAACCAGAATCAGGAGTAGGCCATTCAGCCCCTTGAGCTGATTCTGCCATTCAATCCAGTCATGACTAACTTGTGACCTAACCTCCATATGCCTGCCTTTGGCCCATATTACTTCATTCCTTTGCTGAACGAGGGGTGCTGAGGTCAATTTTTACAGATTCCTTCAGTCTCTCTGTATCTGACTGAAAACTGACCCTTGATCCTTCCTGGGACAAACAGCTAAATTACTGTTTGTTTGAGTGATGGGAGCACGAGTTAAAATAAAAACCTTTGAAATGCCTGCGTCATAAAACACACACGCACGCACACAAATCTGGGCTGCAAGCTATTTAAAGAGAATGCCATTTAAGTGTTTTCACTCAGTGTGGACTGATCCATCCTGAACCAGCCTGGCTCTCGTTGCCCTCTGGCTTGTGTTCTGTCTGTTTGAGAAAGTGACTGTAAATACAGATAGCAGGAGCAGATTTGAGTTGCGATATGTTATTACAAGCTTCTGCCTGTCCCTCATTCCTCACTGTGCGGGCACATGCATAGGCTGGGTAGGATTGTCCCCATCGTTCTGCATCTAACTCCTGGCAATGAGGCCTCCTCCCTATCAGGGCTATAAGAACCCTGCGACCTCGGAGGCCATTCAGCCCTTTCAGGCAATTCCATCATTCTGACAGATCATGGTCTGATTTGTGTCCTCACTCCCTTTCTATGTCTTGGCTCTCTATCCCTGACTGGGAGGCCTTGGCTGATCTCTGATGGGAAATTGATTGACCACTTCTCACAGGGAAGAGCCTGATCGGTTTGATCTGAGCTCTGCACGAAGAACTGTTTCCAACTTCCCTCTTCAATCGCTGACTGTGATCTTCAAGATTTGTTCCCTTTTCTCAGACTCCTCTCCCATTGGAGGGAGAGTTTGATTTGATTTGTTCAAAGTCCTTTTTTTTAAAAAAAAACCCTCCATCTTTTGTTTCCCGCCCCCCTCGATGCCTGGAATGCCACCTTGTTTTCTATCTCCATCTCTATCTCCATCCCCCTCCTCCTTCACTGTGATACTGTGCCCCTCTCTCTTTCGGAGTCAGTTTTGAGGGAATGTGTGTGGGGCATTGGTGGGGTGTTGAGTGCTGAGCATTGCAACCAATCCTTGCCCTTGTCTGATGTCAATACTTTCCCAAGGAGAGGGGCGTGGGGGTGGTATTGAACAGTGCATCTCCCCCATATTTTGGAATGGGTTAATTCCCAGGAACTGCTCCCATTTGCTCTCCCCGTCATCTCTGTCTTGCTTTTTTTTTAATACTCTTTTGGAGGTTGACGGTTTTGATTTTTCTCTCTTGTCACTGCCTCAGCACAGGAGCAGGCCGTTCAGGCCATCGAGCCTGCTCTCCCATTTCAGCGCGACGGTGGCTGCTCATCTGCTGCGGCATCGTTTCCTCCTCCCCCCAGGGGATGTGTCAGTGTCTGTCCCCAGTTGCTCAATGACTGAGCTTCCACAGCCCTGACAGTCAATTATGAGATTTCCCACCCCCGCTCCAAGTCCCTTTCATCTTGGTCTGAAAGGGACTGTTGCAGTTATATGGACGAACCAGCCTACATGCCCCCCCCACCTTGTTTAAACTACCACACCCTCTTCTCCCCCACTGGTGTAGGTTTCAATCAGATCCCCCCACCTCTCCAAGGCATGCTTTGGAACTAATATACACTCCGTCACTTCGATCTCTTCCTATCAGCCTCTCACCTTCCCTGGGATCACACTGTGCTGAGACAAGCACTGAGAAATTCAGCAGGTCTATGGAGAAAGAGAGAGAGAACCTGGAGTTTGCTATGACTCTTTGTTCAGAAATGTGCAGCTCTGTCCTTTTTGGTTCCTTTAAGATAAAGGCAGGGTTTCTGGCTCAGTATCTCAGGTGTGGTCTCGCCAAGGCAGTACACAAGTGCAGCCAGACATCGTTGCTGGGAATCATAGAATCCCTAAAGTGCAGGAGCAGGCCGTCCGGCCCATTGACTCCACACCAACCCTCCGAAGGTCATCCCACCCAGATCCAACCTATCCCTGTAACCCTGCATTCCCCATGGCTAACCCACCCAGCCTGTGCATCCCTGAATGCTAGGGGCAATTTATCATGGCTAATCCCACCCAGCCTGCACATCCCTGAATGCTAGGGGCAATTTATCATGGCTAATCCCACCCAGCCTGCACATCCCTGAATGCTAGGGGCAATTTATCATGGCTAATTCCACCCTAACCTGCACATCTTTGGACTGTGGGAGGAAACCGGAGCACCTGAAGGAAACCCACGCAGACGTAGGGAGAATGTGCAAACTCCACACAAACAGTGGCCAGAAGATGGGATCGAACCCGGGTCCCTGGCGCTGTGAGGCGGCAATGCTAACCCGACATACTCCGAACCTGTTGTGCTGAAAAAGCCAGCACTCCTGAGTTTTCTAACTGCACCTACATGACGGCTTTTAGTGACTCGTGGATAAGGTCACCCAGATCCCATTGAACACCGTCACTCCCCGATCTCTCACTGTTTCTGAAATCCTCTGCCTTTCTGTTGTACCAAAGTGAATACCTTCACACTTATCTCCTTGATACTGCACTGGGCAGAGACCAGCTAACTCTGGGCAGGGCTGGGGGTTTCTGGCTTGTAGGTCATGTAGCCCACAATCCCCCTGCTGGCTGTGTGAATGGGATCTCCACTTAGTCTCCCTCCCCTGCTCTTGCCGCAGAAACTGACGCCCTTCTCATTTTCTGGAAGGTCCTGTTGAACGTGACCCCCGCCCTCAATTTTAACCAGCACCAACCTGAGCCCCCCCCCCCTGTTTCCCCGTGGGTACTGTCTGAATGTTGTGTCTCCCTCTCTGGGCAGGTCCACCTCCAGACCCAGCAGGAAGTGAAGATGAGGATGACCGGGATGGCGGCCCATGTCGTTCGGCATGATGGGATCCTGGCACTCTACAACGGCCTGAGTGCCTCCCTCTTCCGCCAGGTAAAGCTGCCCATCTGTGTGTACAAACGCGCATGTTGAGGGTGGGTGATGCCTCTGTGCGACAGTGGGTGCGAGAGAGTCCGTGCCTGGGGTGGGGGATGGGTTTGGGCTGGCAGTGAGCGTGGGTTATGAAGGAAGAGTGGATGGTCATAGCAACTGGCACAGTTTAACCCTGGCACTGTCAGCAATGGAGGGGATGTCGATGAGACGCCAAAGCTGCTTCTGATGGAATGGCCTTCATACGGTCGGTGAAGACAGCTCCATCTAACAGGAGTGCTTTGATACAGCAGCCACTGCCTGGGGCCTGGGGCCTGGCCCAGCCCAGACCCAGGACCGGTCAGATTAAGGAAAGTAAAGTAACCTCTTATAATTCAAAATGAGACCAATTGGCCCATTATGGGGTAGTAAATAAAAAAGAAATAAGAGCAGGAGTGGGCCATTCAGCCCATTACAATGCGATAAGATCATGCTTGATTTGGTTGTGGATTTAACTGTACTGTCCCAGCCAGTGAGCCTTGTTGATCAGAAATCTAACCCTGTCTCGAATTTGTTCGATGACCCAGGCTCCATCACTCTCTGTGGGACAGAATTCCAAAGACCCCTGAACTCTGGGAGGTGGAATTTCTCCACAGCTCTGTCTTATTTTGAAACCGGACTCTCTCGTCATGACATCCCCTCCACAAGGGAACGACTCTGTCTGTAGGACCCTGTCAGAGGCCCCCTCGTTTCCCTCTCTCTGTTATATTCCCTAATTAAAAGGAACTGGTGTGAGAGGAGACAAATGGGCTGACTGCATGGACTTTGTGTGGTTTCACTGCTGGCTAAGGAAATAAGAAATCTCTCTGAATCCAGTTGATCAGAAAAGTCTCTCTATGCAGATCAAGGAGATCTGCAAAAGAAAGGCTGTTTCAATAAGGCAGGATACCTTCAGCCTAATAAAGATGCGAGAAACAAGTCAAAAACAGAAATTGCTAGAGAAACTCAGCAGGTCTGGCAGAGAGAGGAAGTTTCGCATCTGGTGACCCTTCCTCAGAACTGGCTGAGGAAGGGTCACTGGACCCGAAACGTTAACTCTGATTTCTCTCCACAGATGCTGCCAGACCTGCTGAGCTTTTCCAGCAATTTGTGTTTTCGTTTCTGATTTCCAGCATCCGCAGTTCTTTCAGTTTTTATTTTGCAAGAAACAAGTAACTTGGTAGCAAATCAGAAATGGTTGTGACCTGATGGGGAGCATCTCAGGAACAGTGATCATAACAGTTTTACAATTCAGACTGCCTGCCTGTCCAATGCCAGTCTGTGTGTATCTTTCTATTTGTTTCATGTCAGTCTCTCTGTGTCTCTGTGTGTGTGCGCGCTCTCTCTCTGTCTGTGTGTGTATGTCTTGCACGCGCTCTCTCTCTCTCTCTGTGTATGTCTCTCGCGCGCTCGCGCTCTGTCTCTCGCGCTCTCTGTGTGTATGTCTCGTTTTCTCTCTCTCTCTCTCTCTCTCTGTCTCTGTGTGTGTGTGTGTGTGTGTGTGTGTGTGTGTGTGTCTCTCTTTTCTGTCTCTGTGTTACCTTTCTTCCCTCTTTCCTCCCTGTCCCCTCCCTCTCTGACAGGGTGAAGGTGCAGTTTTGGGCTCCACCAGCAGGGCATCATCTCCCTCAGCCTTCGAGATGGAGCCTGTTTCTCCAAGTTTCTGCTCCGTTCCCATCGAGGGGAATGTCGGAGTTTTGAGAAGGGGGGGCCACCTCCTACATTCCTGCCGGATGCTGACTTGGGAGGGGGAGGCCTGGGAGCTCGGTTAAAGCTTGTTGCCTTGCTCTGTTGCCTGCAGCTGACGTATTCCCTGACTCGATTCGCCATTTATGAGACGGTGAGGGACCGGCTGAGTGGAGGGAAGGCACAGCCTCTTCCATTTTACCAGAAAGTTCTACTCGGAGCGTTTGGAGGTCAGTCTGAGGTTGGCGATGATTGAGGGCAGGAGGGTTAGGGTCTGTCACCTAGGGCTGGGGTTGGGCGTAGGGGTGGTGGGAGTAGGGGGCCTGAGGGAACAGGGACCTGATACCAGGACGAGGCGGGGGAGATGGGGTTGTGGGGGGTGCAGTCAGTACTGGAGGGGATGACCCTGGAGTGCTTAGGGGGCAAAGCTGGAGGGGGAGGGTGCCTCCTATTGGGAGGAGAGGTGTAATACTGGGCTGCTAGGGAGAGCCTATGATACTGTGAGGAGGGTGGGGGAGGGGTTTTGGGGTGTGATTTTGAGGGGGGGTTGGGGGTATTGGATAAAAGATATTGTTGCCACTATACCCCACCTCCCCTCCCCCTGGGGTGTGCGTTGTCCCTTTAACCGACTGCTCCTGTTTCCACAGGTTTCACTGGGGGCTTTGTTGGCACACCAGCCGATATGGTCAACGTCAGGTCAGTGACACCCCCCCACCCCCAACCCCGGCTCTCCGTACTCCAGGTCATCACAGTCCCCTCTTCCCCCACCTTCCCCTACTCTCAGCCCTCGCTCTCAGCTCACCCCCTCTCACTCAGTCTTCCCCCTTCCCCCTTCCCCCTTCCCTTCCCTTCTCCCTTCACTTCCAACCCCCTCCATTCTCGCCACCCACCCCTCACTCAGACCGACCCCCAACCCCCAACCCCCAAACAGGGTGCTGTTGGTGAGTATAGGAGGTGGGAACTGGTACAGCTTTTAAACAGATGGGAATAGCCTTGGATTCAGCACCTTGGCCAGTGCCTCACATGGAGTTGCCCAAATGGACCCCTCACACCCGAGTGTAGGGGTGGCAGGAGCCTGGCAAAGTGTGAGCCATGGCCCTAACTGGTTCCCATTTTGATCGGGAACTCAGTCAATCCCTTTCCGACCCGACCCAGTGTGATTGGCTGGTACTGTTATCTCTCCTTGTTCCTTCAGCCACATCCCATACAACTCAAACAGGACCAGACAAGGTCAACACGGGAAGGGTATTCCTGATGACTAGGGGAATCCCAAACTAGGGATCACAGTCTAAAGGCACTGACTGCAGCATTTAGGACTGAGGTGAGGAGAAATCTCTTCACCCAGAGAGTGGAGAACGTGTGGAATTCTCTGCCACAGAGAGGGGTTGAGGACAAAGCATTGAACGTTTTAAAGAAGAGGTTCGATGTGGCACATAGGGCTTCAGAGATCGGGAAGAGAGCAGGACCGTATTGAATGACAGTGCAGACTCGAAGGGCTGAATGGCGTCCTCTTGCTCTCCTGGGTTTCACGTGAGCATCACCAGCATTGAGCGTTTCCAGAGGGTAACTGCGTTGTTATGAGACTGGAGTCACGTGTTGGCCAGATCAGAGGAAGGATGGCAGGTTTTCTTCTCTGAAGCTAACCAGCCGGGTCTTTATTTTATCACCGTTGATGATAGTTGTCATCAGCTGAGGCCAGATTTATTAAACTGAATTTGAATTCCACACCACCTCGGTGGGATTTGAACCTGCGTCCCTGCAGCATTTCCTCGGGTATCTGGGTCATTAGCCCATTGACATTTCCCGTAGACCAGCATCTCCTGTATCTGTCATTGCTGCTGGATTTGGAGTGGGAATTATGGTGTGGTATTGAGTGGGGTGGGGGGGTGGTGCAGTGATGCTGGGGTCATTGGTGCATTCGTTCTGAGTGAGTGGGTTTGCACTGAGCGAACAGGAGGAATGTGCAGTGAGTGGGCTCAGGTTATATCTGTCTGTCAGTGCTTTTTGTACAGGGGGTGGTACGGACCGAGAGCACAGAGGTGTCACTCAGCTCATTAATGTCTTCACTGAACTGTAACCCTCCTATTACCCACTTCCTCAGACCCAATCCAGTCTCAACTCCTTCAAAATCCATGATCCCATTGGTCGATCACCTGGTTGCCTGTAGGGGTTACACTCTCTCATGTTGTGAAGATAAGAGATAGTAAGAACTGCAGATGCTGGAGTCAGCGATAACTCAGCGTGGAGCTGGAGGAACACAACAGGCCAGGCAGCATCAGAGCAGCAGGAAAGCTGACGTTTCAGGTCTGGAGCCTTGGCGAATGGATATACCAGAGCTCTGTTCTGAGGCTGGTGGGCCCAGTTTGTCGTCATTACAGGTTTTACTGCGTTTTCCCTTTGGATTCTCCTCTTCGTGGTCCTTTTTTTTATTTCAATATTTCACCCAATTGCCAGGATTACCTCTCCCTGGAAACTCTCTCACTGCTCCAATTCATTATAAACTTCCTCTTCCCGCAGCCCCCAGATCCGCTCTGCAATAGACCTGACCTCGAGCACAGTGGACCAATCACTCCCCTTCAGCCAACCACATTCCCCTGTCTGTCCCAAACTGTGACACATTGAGGTGGGTGGGTTGGGGTTGGGGGGTAGCTGTGTCCTAGCTGAGTGACCGCTGTCCCTTCACACCCCTCCCAGGCACAAGGAGCCTGCAGAGATTGGGGGCATTTTGGTAAAGTCCGTAACCTCTCTGTTCCTCTCTTTTGGCAGGATGCAGAATGATGTGAAACTCCCGGCAGCGCTCCGGAGAAAGTGAGTGTTTTTCCCAGGAGCGATGGGTTTCTCCGGTTTGTGTACCCCTCGATCTGGGAGGTGGTAACCGGCCCTGGCCTCTGAGCCGGTGGTATTTGGGTTGGGGGTGGTTCTGGCTCAGGGTGTGGGAGTGGCGGTGGAGTTAGGGTTGTTGGGGAGTGGGGGGTTGACTAGCAGCACTGAGGGACTTTGGTGGTTTGTGGTATTGACCTCCAGCAGAGCTCTGTGCCCTCCAGACACTCCAACAGAATCCCCCCCCCCCACCCATTCACAATTCCTCAGATACTGAAGCAGTCCATGTTCAAATGCAACAAGGTCTGGACAATATCTAGGCTTGGGCTGACCAGTGGCATGTAACATTCACGCCACACAAATGCCAGGCTATGACCATCACCAATAAGAGACAATCTAACCACTGCCCCTTGACATTCAATGGTGTTACCATCACTGAATCCCCAACTATCAACATCCTGGAGATTACTGTTGACCCGAAATTCAACTGGACTCACCACATAAACTCATTGGCTGCAAGAGCAGACCAGAAACTGGGAATACTGTGGCGAGTAACTCCCTCCTGACTCCTCAAAGCCTGTCCACCATCTACAAGGCACAAGTCAGGAGCGTGATGGAATACTCCCCACTTGCCTGGATGAGTGCAGCCTCAACAACACTCAAGAAGCTTGACACCATCCAGGACAAAGCAGCCCGCTTGACTGGCACCACATCCACAAGCATCCCCTCCCTCCACCACCGATGCTCAGTAGCAGCAGTGTGTACTATCTACAAGATGCACTGCAGAAATTCACCAAAGATCCTCAGACAGCACCTTCCAAACCCACAACCACTTCCATCTGGAAAGTGTCCTGACAAAGGGTTTTGGTCCAAAACGTTGACATTTCTGCTCCTCGGATGCTGTCTGACCTACTGTGCTTTTCCAGCCTCACACCTATAGATACCACCTCCTCCAAGTTTCCGCACTCCATCTTGACTTGGAAATATATGGCCATTCCTTTGGTGTCACTGGGTCAAAATCCTGGAATTCCCTCCCGAATGGCATTGTGAACCTATCCGCAGGAGGAGGCAGCTCACCACCACCTTCCCAAGGCCACCTATCCACCAGTAATGAATGCTGTTCCCAGCCAGTGAGGCCCATGGCCCACGTGTGGGGGGAATAGAAAAAGCAAAGAAAATCCAGTAAGCTGTGCAATCCCTTCTGCTGTTTCTCTGGAGGGTTTTGCTGCCTCCCTGCTCGTTTTGTGTCTGCTGATGGTACACACATGTTGGGTTCCAGTGCAGACTGGGTTCCAGTTGCTGCTGGACATTGGTATTCAAAGTGAATGGGGCTGGGGGCTAGTGGGCAGCTGGTCTGGCCTCTCATTGCTCTGTTTGTTCAATGTCCGCTCTCTCTCTCTCCCTCTCCAGCTACAAACATGCAGTGGATGGGCTTTACCGAGTCCTACAGGAAGGTAAGCTTCCCCAGACATCTGTAACCCTGCAGACAAGCTGCAGGAACACACCATGGAGAGTTGCCTGTGACCTCTCCGACCGTCAGTTTGTTTTCTGAAACGTGTTGTTTCCTTTCATTTCTCTCTGGTCCGAGCCCAACCGGAGGGAGAGTCGTTGTGAGTGGGACGTTGGAGAAACTGAAATCCTGAGCTTGGACCTCTGTGACCTCCTCTCGGTGCGACTGAAGGGTGTAATTTAGACTCCAGTCCACTGGGGGTGCCCACTAGCCATTCGCTGGGGGAGGATTGACTCGAGAGTAGAGCTTTTGGGCTTTGTCCTTGGATATGACTTTTCAAACATGTCGTTTTTTTTTATTATTGTCATATATACCGAGTTACAGTGAAAAGTATTGTTTTGTGTGCTAACCAGACTATTCAAACTTTACATACGTACATCAGGGTAATAGAACCGAAGGCAGAATATAGTGTTACAGCTACAGTGAAGGTGCAGAGAAAGATCAACTCTCCTGTATGAGCAGTCTGTTCATAAGTCTGATATCAGCGGGGAAGAAGCTGTTTTTTTTTTTTGAATCTGTCGGCACGTGTTTTCAAACTTTTGCATCTTTTGACTGACGGAAGAGAGTGGGGGAGGGGTCTTTGATGTTGGCTGCTTTGCCGCGGCAGCGGGAAGTGTAGACGGAGTCAGTGGAGAGAAGGCTGGTTTGTCTGATGCACTGGGCTGTGTTCACAACTTTCTAATTTCCTGCGGTCTTGGCCAGAATAGTTGCTGTTCCAAGCTGTGATGCAATCGGATAGGATGCTTTCTGTGGTGAATCTGTAGAAATCGGTAAGAAACTCTGTGGACATGCTGAATTTCCTTAGTGACCTGAGAAAGTAGAGGCATTGGTGTGCTTTCTTGACTGTAGCGTTGATGTGGGTGGCCAGGACAGATTGTTGGTGATATTTACTCCTAGAAACCTGAAGCTCCTAACAACTTCCACCTCAGCACTATCTTTTCGCCCCATTTTGATGGCTAGTGTTCAACATTCTCATCCTTGTTTTCAATTCTGTCTGTGTCATGCTGTCTCTCTCTGTCTGACTGTCACCCTCCATGATGCCTGTACCCATCTAATTCCTCACCCTGTTTTACAATAGAACATAGAACAGTACACCACAGGAAAGGGCCCACGATGTTGTGCCGAACATGACACCAAATTAAACGAATCCCTTCTGCCAGTCCTTGGTCCATGACCCTCCATTCCTCGCTTACTCATGTGCTCATCTAATAGTCTGTTAAATGCCCCTCATATCTGCCTCCACCACCACCCCTGGCAGTGTGTTCCAGACTCCTACCACTCTCTGTGTAAATAAAACTTACCCCACACGTGTCCTTTAAACTTAGAGTTTACACTCCTTTAAACTTTCCACTTCTCGCATTAAGCTCATGCCCCCTAGTGTTAGACATTAGGGAAAAAGATTCTGACTGTCTGCCTTACCTATGGATCTCCTAATTTTTTTTTTTGTAGACATGTATCAAATCTCCGCTCAGCCTCCGCCGCTCCAGTGAAAACAACCTGAGTTTTTCCAGCCTCTCCTTATGGCTCATACATCTTCAAATTCAATCCCTCCTTCATCTGGCAGCCATGCCTTCAGCTGCTAGGGCCCTGACCCCTATCCCTCTGATTCTCTCTGACTTTGAGGAGGTCTAACCTGCCTCTTGGGGAAAGCTTGAGGTCACTCTTCTTCTAGCACCTTGGGTGGGCTCTGGCCACTGAGCAGGTTCTGAGCGATTAATAGGAATCGCTGGGTTAAAATTGAGACCAAGTTGCCCAGATGGGGCTTCAGTTTACTGGGGTATAAAAGAGGCAAGGGCAGAGGGTGAGTTTATTCTCTGAGGGTCATTGGTCTGTGGGATTCTCTTCGACAGAGGGCAGCAGAGTAGGAGGCTGGGGGTGGGGGTCATTGAGTCTTTTTTAAGGTTGAGTTGGATTCTAGACTGTCAGGGGTAGGGGGGTATTGAAGGTTAATTGGGGTGTTGTGGGTGAGTTGGGGAAGTGGAGTTCGTCAGATTAGTCACCACCTTTACCAAATGCTAGAGCAGACTTGAAGGGCCGAATGGCCTGGGGGGGGAGAGGTGAAGAGTCCTGACCAACTCCCCGTTGGGGTCAGGTCAGAGCAGTCCGACTGTCACCGAGGTGTTGCTACGCAGTTCGGGCCTACACAGGACGGTGAAGCCTTCGAGCGGTTAGGAACTGAATGGGTCAAACTGCAGAGAGGCTCTGAAGAGCTTTTTGTGAAGAAGTTTCTAACCAGCTGTGTCTCTCTCTCTCTCTCTCCTCTTCCCCACCCCCCCTTGCAGAAGGCATTCGGAAGCTGTTCTCTGGAGCAACCATGGCATCGTCTCGTGGAGCCTTGGTTACAATCGGGCAGGTAGGCCTCACTATATTTCATTCCCACTCTTCACAGGGAGGTGCTATGGTGCTGTGGGGCACCGTGAAAACCGAAATCTTCTTAAAACAAGCTAATAAATTAATTCTTCCCAAATCCAAGGTTACGATGACTGTGGTAAGAAACTCACCTCCTGATTCCCCAAAGCCTGTCCACCATCTACAAGGCACAAGTCAGGAGTGTGATGGAATACTCCCCACTTGCCTGGATGAGTGCAGCTCCAACGACACTCAAGAAGCTCCACACCATCCAGGTCAAAGCAGCCCGCTTGATTGGCACCACATCCACAAGCGTCCACTCCCTCCACCACCAACACTTAGTAACAGCAGTGTGTACCATCGACAAGATGCACTGCAGAAATTCACCAAAGATCCTCAGACAGCACCTTCTAAACCCACAACCACTTCCATCTAGAAGGACAAGGGCAGCAGATACATGGGAACACCACCCCCTGCATGTTCCCTCCAAGTCACTCACCATCCTGACTTGGAAATATATCGCCATTCCTTCACTGTCGCTGGGTCGATATCCTGGAATTCCCTCCCTAAGGGCATTGTGGGTCAGCCCACAGCAGGAGGACTGCAGCGGTTCAAGAAGGCAGCTCACCACCACCTTCTCAAAGTGGGTAACTATAGGGACGGCAAGAAATGCTAACGTCCCACTAGTGAATGTGAGAAATCCATGTAAAAATGTAAAGTTGGGGATTGTGAGGTGGAGAGTGAGCGGGGAGTCGGCGCGCTCTCGGGCCTCTCCTGCTGCCCTCACCGCTGCTCTGCACCCCGTTGTTGTTGGTGTGTCTTAGTGATTCCTTCCCCCTACAGGGTAATGTGGTGATGGTACAGCTGGAATAGCCCAGAGTTTGACTATTCAAATCCCGTGGCAGAAATTCAGGGATATGAACTCAATGCTGGTACTCTCTCTCTCACTTTTTTTTGTACAGCAAGTGTCTGGTTCACAGGAGCCCCTGATTTCTGGTGTTTATTGTTACCAGCTCAGGCCCACGGTGTTGGGATTAATCCTTTACCTCCTCTCCCAGAGTGGCCAAGGAAAACCACTCAGCTGGGACAGACCTCTGCCAAAGAAATCTATCGGCACTCTCGGGGGCCACTGCAGCTGCTCCAGGAAATACCCAACACCCCTCTTCCCCGCCCCTCGAGGGGCATTTACTGCCTCCCCTCAATAAAGGGCTCGTAATCCCCTAACACTCAGTCACAGAGCCGGTGTTGGAATAACGCTCTGCTCGCTTCACATAAAATGTTCTGTCGACTAGAGGCCCGAAAGGATAAACGAATAAGGTTGTAGACTTGCTCTCTGAGCCGGTGTGTTTGATTACAGACATTTCGTCGCCCTGCTAGCTGTAACATCGCCAGTGCGTCACCAGTGAAGCGTTGGTGTTCTGTCTCTACAAACCATGCTCAAAAACTTCTGAGAGAAATGAATAACCCAATGAGCTGGCTTGTTGTGTTGGTGGTTTATTGTAATTGTGTCTGTGTGCCCACACTGTCAGGAGTGGAGAGGTGCTGAGCTCTCTCCCTGTCTCTCTCACATGTGACTAAATGTGTATGTGGGTATGTGTCTCTCTCCCCATTAGCTCGCCTGTTATGATCAAGCAAAACAACTGGTCCTCAACACTGGCTTCCTGTCAGACAACATTGTCGCCCACTTCATCTCCAGTTTTATCGCTGTAAGTGGGAAGGCTCTCTCTTTTTCCCATTAAGTCCTATTTTCTTGGGTTATGTCCGCATCTGTGTGTGCGTGCGCGCGCGGGGGGGTCTGCCTGTGGGGTGTGTGTGTGTTTGCGTGCGTGTGGGGTGTGGGGTCTGCCTGTGGGGTGTGTGTGATTGCACGTGCGGGGGGTCTGCCTGTGGGATGTGTGTGTTTGCGTTCAGTGGGGTCTGCCTGTGGTGCGTGCGTGTGGGGGGGTGTGCATGTGGTATTGCTTTGGGGGGCGGGGGTGGGGGGGGGGGGGGGGGGGAAGTCTGCCTGTGGTGTGTGTACATCAGAGAAATTTGCGTGTGTTGTCACCTGGCTAAAAGCCCTATTGGCTTGTGTTCCCATCCTCCCTCCTGAACCACTCGTTGCCCTTTTTGCTCTGTTGTGCTTCTGTGTTCTCTCCTTTGCCTCCTTGCCTTGGTCCCTGCAGTGAACACACTCTCTTGTTTCTCGTCCTGCTCTGGTACTTTTGCACTGCCTCTTTCTCCTGCACCGTCTCACACATTCCTCCTCGCCGTCGTTAGGTTGAAATGATCATGTCTAACCAATTCTGCCCCTCTCTCCCCTTGTTCTTGAGTACAGGGTGGCTGTGCCACATTTCTATGCCAACCACTGGACGTTCTAAAGACCAGACTAATGAACTCGAAAGGGGAATATCGGGTAAGTGAATACTGGTGAAGCTGTTGTGGTGCATAATTTTGTCTCTGCTCTGAACAAACCTCATGTCTCTGTCGAAAGGCCAACGTGCAGCACCAAACATGGGAGAGATTACCTTAGATTCACATTAACTTGCAACTCTATTACTTCAATCATTTGGGACATGTTGGCATAACTTCTTTTCCTAGGTCCTTTTTAGGTCTTCTGTTTCTGTTAAAAGGTGACTCAGCGGTTAGCACTGCTGCTTCACAGCGCCAGGGACCCGGGTTCGATTCCAGCCTCGGGCGACTGTCTGTGTGGAGTTTGCATGTTCTCCCCATGTCTGCGTGGGTTTCCTCTGGCTGCTCCGGTTTCCTCCCACAGTCCAAAGATGTGCAGGCTAGGTGGGTTAGCCATGGGAAATGCAGGGTTGGGGTTAGCTGGATCGGATGGTGTTCAGAGGGCCAGTGCACACTTGATGGGCCAAATGGACTCTATCTGCATGGCAGGGATTCTGTGATTCTTGATTTTGTTTTCCTCAAATCCTCCTCTAACTCACTTGCCCCCTGATCATTGACCCCCACACTAAGGGGAAATGTTTTTGCCTATCCACTCTATCTATGCCCAACGATACCTTGTCCATCTCAATCAGGTGCACCCCCACCCCTGGCCTTCTCCACTCTGAGAAAACCAGCCTGAGGCTAGTCTGTACTCTCCCCCCATCACTGACTCACTACAGCCCCAGGCAACATTCTGGTGAATCTCCTCTGCACCATCTCCAGTGCAGTCACAAAGGTCAAGGGTCAAGCTGGTAAGTGGCCAAGTGTGGGGAGGAAATGATGTCACTTGGAAGAGGAGTTCTTTGCACAGTGAACCCAGGCCAGGAGGGTACACTGTCCCAGTAGAGAGAGGGCAAGCTGATGGGTGTCGGGCTTCACCCAGGAGGAGGGGTGGGGGTGGGGGTGGGCGTGCAGCTTGTCCATTTTTTTTTGCCTGTTTCTGGAAAAATCTGACCCTTTAGTTCTCAGCTTTTGAAAGCCATGACAGAAGGTGAGCTGCAGCAGTACAAGAAGGCAGTTCACTCACCAGCTTCAAGGGGCAACTAGGGACGGGTAATAAATGCCAGGATTGGTTAGTTGCGTGCCCTTGGTCATGGTACTGTTTGTTCTCTGCAGGGTCTCTGGCACTGTATCATTGAGACAGCTCGATTGGGCCCACTCGGCTTTTACAAGGTGAGCTGCTGATGGTCTTTGGTCATGTTTAAGATGATATCGTCTCGCGCTCTGCCTCGCGCAGTACCTGAATCCACATGACGTTGATGTTAGTTAGTCTGTTTACTCTAATGGGCCTGTTTCCCTTTCCCAGGGTTTAGTTCCAGCTGGAATCCGGTTGGTCCCTCATACAGTCCTGACTTTCGTCTTCCTGGAACAGTTGAGGAATCGCTTTGGATTTCTGGTACAGACGTGACCAACTGATCACCATACCAATCCCTCATCGACCAACTTGGCTCTTGACTGACCAACCTTTCACTGGAATCTATTAAATCTCATCAATCTTCCCACTCCCCAGGTCCCACGCCCACTACCTGGAAACACGGGGCCTAGTGAGTGTATTATTGAACACGTTGTCGTTACTAACCATCATGTGTCAGGATTCACTGTCCTGTCGAGGGTGGGCACAGACCCCCCTGAAAACTGGCAAGAAACCTTGAATCGTTAATCTCCCACTGTAGAAAGTCTGTGAGTGCCTTAAGTATAAAGAGGTCCACTCTTCTGAGTGAACCCCTCCCATTCCTTGTTAGAAAATCTCACTTCTTGGTGATTATTAGTTTTTATTGGCTGTGTTCACGTTGGTTATCTGGGTGATGCCACAGAGGGGTGTCATTGATGGAGGTTCTGGAATGATCTGCACCCATTGCCACGCCAACCCCATTGAGCTGGATAGCAGTGGGCATATCAATAGCCCTCCTGGCAGGGGGTGTGGTGGGGTGCTCACTCGCTCATGCTGCCTCCCACAGTCAACCTACCATGGCGTGTCAGAGGTTTGCTCTGCCTGTGTCAGATCTGGGAGCTCCAGGACTGAATCAGAGTTAACATTTCAAGTACGGTTCTACACCGTGCCCGTTCTGACAAACTCTCCCATGGGACCTGAAACGTTAGCTGTTTCTCTCTCCGTCAATGCTGGCAGACCCGGCGAGTTTCTCCAGCAATTTGTGGTTGACATTTAATTGCCCCAACCCTCCGCAATAAACCGTTCAGCACGACACAGTGACCAAGGGCAATTGGGGATAGGTACAGCTGCTCATGTTACCCACATCCTGCGACAAAATTAAAAAGCAACCCATCAAAAGCCTTCCTCGTTTTGAACATTCAAATTAAATCTCATGACCCCCCCCCTCCCCATTTTTTTTGTCCAATCTCACTATAGAACTGAATGCTGCTCTTCCAGATAACCTAATAACGTGTTGAGTGATTAGAAATTGAAGAGTCAAACGAGGTTGTGTGTTCCAGTTGGGGGAGTGAGATTTGAACCCAAAACCTTCAGACCCTGAGGCAAAGACAAGTGTTAAAATACCGTAAGCTGCTGGACTATTGCAGCAATTTGAACAGAACTCGAGGGACTAGGAGGTCCCTCCAATCAGGCTGCTTGTGAAGGAGAGTGATTTTAATCGTAGCTTTTTGGAAATTAATGTAAGGCCATCGCCTTTTATCGATATGTATTAGCACATAACCGAGTGGATCAAAGTTGAATCACAGAGTTGGAGATGTTGCATTCCTAATTTATAACTAGATTGAAGGAAAGGCCGGGGCACAATATCAGTGTAAGTTACAATGACATTTAACTATAAAATCACAGCTCAAATCGAAATATGCCTCAAGTTGTGTCTCTGAAAAGTGGCAGCTATGTCTAACAGATCCCTGTCTTTCTGTGTGTGTGTGTGCGTGCAGGTGTGTGGTTACAGATCCGTGTGTGTGCGTGAATGTGTAATTACAAAAGAGAAGTACAGCACAGGCCCTTCGGCCCTCCAAGCCTGTGCCAATCATCATGCCCTAACCAAACTAAAAAACAAGCCTTCTGCCCTTATTTGGTCAGTATCGCTCTGTTCCCTCCCTATTCATGTAACCATCCAGATGCCTCTTAAATGTCACTAATGTGCCTGCTTCCATCACCTCCTCAGGCAGTGCATAACAGGTTCCTACCACTCTCTGCGTGAAAAACCTTCCTCGCACATCTCCCCTAAATTTTCCCTCTCTCACCTTGAATGTATGGCCCCTTTGTAATTGAAACTTCAACCCTGGGAAAAAGCCTCTGACTATCTACCCTATCTATGCCTCTCATAATTTTGTAGACTTCTAGCAGGTCTTCTCTCAGCCTCCATCTTTCCAGTGAAAATAATCCTAGTCTTTTTAACCTTTCCTCATAGCCAATGCCCTCGAGACTGGGCAATATTCAGGTGAACCTTCTCTGCACTCTCTCCAAAGCTTCCATGTTCTTCTGATAATGTGGCGACCAAAACTGCACACAATACTCAAAACGTGGCCTAACAAGGGTTTTATATAGCTGTAACATGTTTGCCAACTCATGTACTCCAGGCCTCGGCTGAAGAAAGTAGGCATACCAATGCCTTCTTAATCACCTTGGCCACCTGTGTTGCCACTTTTAGTGAGCTGTGGACTTGCACACCCAGATCCATCTGTATGTTAAGTGTTCCTTAGGGTTCTGCCACATACAGTATGATTCACACCTAAATTCGATCCTCCAAATTGCATCACCTCGCATTTGTCTGGATTAAACTCCATCTGCTATCTCCATTGGCCCAAATTGCCAATCTATATCCTGTTGTATCCTTTCATAATCATCAGCCCTGTCAGCAACTCTAACAATCTTCACGTCATCTGCAAATTTACTAATCAGGCCACCCATATAATCCTCCAGATCATTTATATACACGACAAACAACAGAGAACCTAAGACTGATCCCTGCAGAACACCACTAGTTACCGGTCTCCATTCTGACAAACACCCTTCCACTGCTACCCCCTGTCTTCTATGACAAAGCTAGTTTTGCACCCATCGAGCCACTCCACCCTGAATCCCATGTGATCTTAGTTTTTGTACCAATCCACCATGCGGGACTTTATCAAATGCCTTATTAAAATACATATAAACTACATACACAGTCCTTCCCTCATCAATTATCTTTGTCACCTCTTCAAAAAATTCAATCAGGTTGGTGAGGCATGACCTTCCCCGTACAAAACCATACTGGCTGTCACTGACTGGTCCGTTTTCTTCCAAATATGCTTATATCTTGTCCTTCAGTATCTTCTCTAAGAGCTTCCCCACCACAGATGTCAGGCTCACTGGCCTATAATTTCCTGAGTTATCCCTGGTTCCTTTCTTAAACAAGGGAACAAGACTGGCTAATCCCTAGTCCTCTGGAACCTTGCCTGTGGTCAAAGAGGGTGTGAAGACATCTGCTAATGCCCTAGCTATTTCTTCCCTTGCCTCTCAGAACCTGGGATAGATCCCATCTGGTCCTGGGGTCTTGTCTACCTTAATGCAATTTAGGATACCCAAAATTTCTTTCTTCAATATATTGACATTCTCTAGAGTATTCACACACTCATCCCTGACCTCAGCATCAGTCATGTCTTTCTCCTTGGTGAATACCGATACAAAGTATTCATTAAGGATCTCTCCCAATTCCTGTGGCTCCACATATAACTTCCCTCCTTTGTCCTTGAGTGGGCCTACTCTCTCCCTTGTTACCCTCCTTTCTTTTAATATATGCATAAAAAGCCTTGACCCTGTTTGCTAAAGACACTTCATGGCCCCTTTAGCTTTCCTACTTCTGTGTTTAAGTTCCTTTCTACTTTCTCTTTACTCCTCAAGGGCTTTGTTAATTTGTAGCTGCCTAGACCTATCGTATGCTTCCTTTTTCCTTTTGACGAAGTTTACAATTTCCCTTGTCATCCATTTGGTTCCTGAATCCTGCCATTCCCATCATTCAATTTTGCAGGGACATACATGTCCTGCACTTTAATCAACAGGTCTTTAAAAACCTCCCAACATCCCAGATTTGCCCTCAAATAACTGCTCCCAATCCACATTCTCCAGTTCCTGTCTAATTTGGGTGTAATTGGCCCTTGCCCAATTAAACATCCTCACCCCAGTGCCACTCTTGTCCTTGTCCATGACCACTAGAAATCTTGTGGAGTTATTGTTGCTAAGCCCAAAATGCTCTCCTAGTGAAACATCGACCACCTGTTCTGGCTCATTCCCAAGGACCAAGTCTAATATGGCCTCCTCTCTGGTTGAACTGTCAACATACTGCCTCAAAAAGACTTCCTGAACGCAACTAACAAATTGCTCTCTATCAGAGCCCCTGGCTCTAAGGGAGTCCCAGTCAATAAGGGGAAAGTTGAAATCACCTACCACAACTACCCTGCTTTTTTCATACCTTTCCAGTATCTGACTACATATCTGCTCCTCTGTCTCACATGGGCTGTTGGGAGATCAATAGAAATCCCCCAACATTGTGATCTCACCCTTCCTATTCCTGAGCTCCATCCGTAATGCCTCACTGCAAGATCCCTCCAATCTGTCCTCCCTCAACACAGCTGTGATGTGATCCCTAATCAGCATGCAACTCCACCACCCCTTATGTTTCCCTTCCTGAGCTGTCTAAAACAGTGATATCCAGGAATGCTAAGCTGTCAGTTCTGTCCTTCCTTTAACAATGTCTCTATAAAGGCAATAACATCAATCCATTGCAGTAATCCATGCTCTTAGTTCATCTGTCTTACCTGTTATACTTCTTACTTTGAAGTAAATGCACTCCAGACCTCCAGTCCCTCTGAGCCCCATGACTTCCCTCTACCTGCCCTTACTCTGTGCTATGCATACCTCAGTCTTACTTTTGGCCCCAGTCCCTGCACTTACTGGCCTGTTGTTCCGGTTCCCACCCCCCTGCCACACTAATTTAAATCCTCCCGAAAAACTCTAGCAAACCTCCTGCCCAGGATATTGGTGCCCCTCCAGTTCAGGTGCAACCCGTCCTTCTTGTACAGGTCCCACCTTCCCCAGAAGGTATCCCTATGATCCACATATCTGAAGCCCTCCCTCCTACACCAGCTCTGTAGCCACGTGTTCAGCTGCTCTCGCTCTCTATTCCTAGCCTGTGGCACAAGTAGTAATCCTGAGATTACTACCCTGAGTAGTCCTGTGTTTTAGCTGTCTACCTAACTCCCTGACTTGTCTTCGCAGGATATCTTCCTTCTTCCTACCTGTGTCATTTGTGCCAACGTGGACAATGACTTCTGGATCTTTTCCCTTCCTTCAGGATGTCCTGTACCCGGTCAAAGACATCGAGGACTCTGGCACCAGGGGGACAACACACCATCCTAGAGGCTCATTCATGGCCACAGAAACAGCTATCTGTGCCCCTGACTATTGAGCCACCTACTACTATCGCTCGCCTGGGCTCTGCCCGACTCTGCTCCACAGCAGAACCAGGTCTGGCTACTGCTAGTGCTAACTCCTGAGAGGCTATTTCCCACCCCCCCTGCAACAGTATCCAAAACGGGATACCGGTTTGAAAGGGGAATAGCCGCAGGAGACTCCTGCACTACCTGCCTGCCTCTCCTGGCAGTCCCCCAGTTATCTGCCTGGGCCTGTGGTGTGACCATCTTCCTAAAGCTAGTGTCTATCACTCTCTCTGCCTCCTGTGTACACCACAGTGTGTCCAGCTGCTTCTCTGACCGAACCACACGGGGGTCTGTGAGGAGCTGTAGCTGGTCACACTTCCTGCAGATGTAGTTGTCAGGGACACCAGGTTGCTCCCTGATTTCCCACATCTGACAGGAGCAGCATAACACTGCCCTTCCTGCCATCTCCACCCTTTTACACTTAAAAACAAATAAGAATCTTAACCTTGCCTCAACACAATGTAGTGTTTCAGGTTTAACCACTCCTTGACACCAGTTCCTCCGAGATATTCAGATTGGTCACGGTGACTGTTAGCGCCATCTCCCAGAATTCCTCTCAGTGACGTCTCTGCTGCCTTCTGATTGGATGGGTGACTTGGTGATGGGATATCAGTCTCTATGGGGTTATTTCAGTGGCAATGAGAGTAAAGCATGTTCCTGAATAAACTTGCTCACAGCAGTCATCTTTTGAGTTGGGGGAAGCATTTCTGGCATCATATCGTAATTTGGGGAGCTTGACTCGTTCAACCCTGCTGTCAAAGACTCGGTCCAGCATGTGGAAAGAATGCTTTACTTTTTCTGGGCAAATGACATTGGGGCAGATGAAAAACAATGAGTAATTCTCCTGACAGCATGTGGACCCGCAGCTTTTTCAGTTAATAGGAGCCAAACGTTTCCTGAGGCACCAGATAATAAAACCATTTAAGAGTTGACAGATTTAGTTAAGGAATATTATGACCCTGAGCCTCCTCTAATTCTGAGACGCTATTGGTTTTATTTGTTAATTTGAGAACCAGGAGAATCCGTGTCGAGGTTTTTGACTAGGTTAAGATGACTGGCAAAGGTATGTGACTTTGGTTTACCCCTTAACGAGATACTGAAAGACTGTTTGATATGTTGGATTAATGATGTAACTGTGCAAAAGGGTCCCCTAGCTGAAGCCCAATTGGATTCAAACAGATACTACATTGGTTTTATCATTGGAAAATGCGGCAGGTGGAGCAGGAGAGTTACAGGGTATTCCGATGGAAGTGGGCACCCTCAGCAATCTGCCTGAGCTTGGGGAACACCACTTGGGTGAAGGCAGTTACATAACCTCACTCAGGACATATCCTGAACAGAGGCACTCTAGGTCAGCCCACAGCAAAACCCCAAAAC